CAAACACCACACAAGACAGACATTTAAATGGCTATTCCAGCCAGGTGTGGTAATTCAGCAGATTCTGACCAGTTCTGGAGAACCAGTAGCAGAAATTTTGAGTAGTTTGGAGAAACGGCAAATCCCACCTCTGACTGGCCCCGCCCCCATCTCTTCTCTACCTCCAGAGGCTGGCTCTTCTTTGGTTGCCCTGCACAGGAGAACTGGAAAGCAGGTTAGTGGGGGTGGGGTGGGAATGGAGATTTTACAGTATATCCTTCCCCTGCCACGCCCTTCAAGCCACGCCCACCTAGCCATGCCCACAGAACACCACGCCCACAGCTGATCAGCTGGGTCTTCTTTTGTTGCCCTGCCCAGGAGAACAGAACTGGAAAGCAGGTTAGTGGGGTGGGGAGGGAATGGGGATTTTGCAGTAGATCCTTCCCTTGCCATGCCCAACAAGTCATGCCACGCCCACCAAGCCACACCCACAGAACCGGTAGTAAAAAAATTTGAATCCCACCACTGATTCCAGCTCCCACCAGTGACAGAAATGGCGGAAGAAGGTGTGTTAGCTCTCCTTCCACTGGTTTTCCCATAAAAGACCGCCCCACCCCGTCCCGTCCCTCCAACCCCCATCCATAACTGCACCCCGGTGCAAATTTCACCCTGGAAACCATCATCTCAGCGACACACCAAGAACCACGTCAGACAGCCCTCCCCCACCCTTTTTGTTGCAGGTGTCCTATCCTCCCCACCCTAAGAAAGGATGAAGAGTGAACCATGGAGGCCAGAATGGAGCGTGTGCAAATGGCGGATGAAAGAAAAACAACAATTTTATGGCCCTCACAAAACAAGGGCATCTGTTTTGGTTGTGGTAAGACAGCGGCAAGCGATAATCCCACTTTCTTCCAGGCATTTAGCGAAGGAATTCTCTTCAATCAACTTCCTGCCTCTTGACGTGTTTCCTGCCCTTCGGAGCATTTCTTTTAAAAAGTGTGCACGTTTCTTGGATGTTGTTCGAGAGCCGCGGTTTCTAATCAGCTGATGGCCAAATTCATGTTTTGAATCGTCTCACCGGAGAATTCTTCCATGTCTGGCTGAGCTACATTCAGAAGGCAGCTTTTCCATTCGTGCATTCATTCATTCACTCATTCATTCGTCCATGTTCTCTCCATCCCAGCATTCTTTCTTTCTCAGGCTTTTCCTCCATTAATGTTGATGTACAAAAGCTGTTACTCGGTATTGTTTGTGCTCATTCTAGTGAAGATTCACTTAACAAAACTGCAAAGCAAAACAGACAGAGAGGAAACAGGGTTATCACTCAAGAAACTCAAGTTCGTATTTTTAAGTTGAACATGTTTCTGGGACAGAAAAAGAACAGAACAGGAATAGGAATAGAATAGAATAGAACAGAACAGAACAGAACAGAATAGAACAGAACAATGGAATAGAATAGAAATAGAAGCAGAAATAGAAATAGAAATAGGAACAGAATAGAACAAAACGGAATAGAACAGAATAGAATAGAACAGAACAGAACAATGGAATAGAATAGAAATAGAAGTAGAAACAGAAATAGAAATAGAAATAGGAACAGAATAGAACAAAATGGAATAGAATAGAATAGAATAGAATAGAATAGAATAGAACAATGGAGTAGAATAGAAATAGAAGTAGAAGTAGAAACAGAAATAGAAATAGGAACAGAAGAGAACAAAATGGAATGGAATAGAATAGAATAGACTAGAGAAGAAAATAGAATAGAATAGAGAAGAAAATGGAATAGAGAAGAAAACAGAACAATTGAATAGATTAGAAATAGAAGTAGAAGTAGAAACAGAAATAGAAATAGGAACAGAATAGAACGAAGTGGAATGCAATGGAATGGAAGGGAATAGAATGGAATAGAGTAGAATAGAATAGAATAGAATAGAATAGAGAAGAAAATAGAATAGAGAAGAAAACAGAACAGAACAATGGAATAGATTAGAAATAGAAGTCGAAATAGAAATAGGAACAGAATAGAACGAAGTGGAATGGAATGGAATAGAATGGAATAGAGTAGAGTAGAATAGAATAGAATAGAGAAGAAAATAGAATAGAATAGAGAAGAAAATAGAATAGAGAAGAAAACAGAACAGAACAATGGAATAGATTAGAAATAGAAGTCGAAATAGAAATAGGAACAGAATAGAACGAAATGGAATGCAATGCAATGGAATGGAATAGAATGGAATAGAGTAGAATAGAATAGAATAGAGTAGAATAGAATAGAATAGAATAGAATAGAATAGAATAGAATAGAATAGAATAGAATAGAATAGAATAGAATTAGAATTCTTTATTGGCCAAGTGTGATTGGACCCACAAGAAATTTGTCTTGGTGCAAATGCTCTCAGTATACATAAAAGAAAGGATACTTTAGTTAAGAGTCAAGAATCATCAAGTACAACCCTTAATAACAGTCACAGGGTACAAATAAGCAATCAAATCGTACTAGGAAACAGTCAATATAAATTGTAAGGATAAAAGCATCAAAGTTACTGTCCTACAGTCACAAGTGGGAGGGGATGGGTGATGAGGAGTGACGAGAAGACTAATAGTAATAGTAGTGCAGACTTTGTAAATAGTTCGACAGTGTTGAGGGAATTATTTGTTTAATAGAGTGATGGCATTTGGGGAAAAACTGTCCTTGTGTCTAGTTGTTCTGGTGTGCAGGGCTCTATAGCGTCATTTTGGGGGAAGGAGTTGAAACCGTTTATGTCCAGGATGTGAGGGGTCTGTAGATATTTCCATAGCCCCCCTTTGGACTCATGCAGTATACAAGTCCTTGATGGAGGGCAGGTTGGTAGCCACTGTTTTTTCTGCAATCCTAATTTCTCTCTGAAGTCTGTGTCTGTCTTGTTGGGTTGCAGAACCAAACCAATACTGCAATTCTCTTTTGACTTATTGGTTAAATTGAAGTTTTTCTATATTTTTAGAACTGTTTCCTTCCTCTTTTCCATCCATCCTGCTCCAACATCATTTTCAATGGTGCTAAAATTAAAAAGGCAAGTAACAGAAATCCAAAGAGACAAGCTCAACAGCACATATTTCGGGGTTTCTGTTCCTGATGATTGGCAGATGACCATCAGCTCAAGGCTGTGCACTGGAAGTTGTGTTACATTAGAACAGTTTAGTTATATGTTAAGTTTAGGAACCAAATATGGAAGTAACCAGGACCAAGTCTCCATTCCTTTACAGCTTCCTACATTTCCTTCCCTGCTGTTTAAAAGATTTTCTAAACCAAAATTTCTGTCAGGCAATAAGAATCAGGACCACACATTAAGTTCCAGTTATTACACAAGAATCTAGTCAACTAACTGTCAATATTAAACTGTATTAATGGAACATAAGGGGGCTGGAGTTAGACCATTTCTTCCAACATAATGACTTTAAGCTAATTCCTCTCTTGATTCGACCCCCAGGCGTGTCTATGACAATTTGCCACAGCCAACATACCATAGCCAATTCTCCACTGCCAACACTCTACCATCAATTCACCACAGCCAACTCACCATAGCTTACCCACCTCTGCCAACTCACCATGGCCAACTTATCATGGCCAACTCACCACAGCCAACCCACCACCACCAGCTCACCATGGCCAACTTTCCAACATCAACTCACCACAGCCAACTCACCATAGCCCACCCACCTCTGCCAACTCACCATGGCCAACTCACCACCGTCAACTCACCATAGCCTACCCACCACCACCAACTGACTATGGCCAACTCACCATGGCCAACTCTCCAACATCAACTCACCACAGCCAACTCACCACCATCAACTCACCACAGCCAACTCACTCTGGCCAATTCGCCATAGCTAACCCACCATCCACAACTCGCTGCAGAGACTAGAGTTACACTAATATCAAAGAAATGGCAGAATAGAATCATTAAAGAAAGGATGTAATAGGAGGGACAGAATGAAATGTGAATGACAAAAGTTAAAATATTTTTTTAATTTATTTTAAATAATTAAACAGAATTGTTAAATTGTCCCACAGTGAGTTGGCTGTGATGAGTTGTCCCATTCTGCCCCTAGGGTCTGTTCGTACTTCCTCTACAATTTCTCAACCTTGGCAACAAGGTGGGTTGTCTTCAACTCAACAGTTGATCTTCACCCAATCTTAAAGTTGTCCAAGTTGAGAAACAATGTTCTAGACCACCATAATAGGAAAGGAAGGGCCCGCTGCTAATTTCTTCCCTCCTCCAGTCCAACCAGAATTCCACAAAATGCTACCTTGGATCCAGCCCAGGAGATGTGAAGATAAGAAGAAATTGGATTCTGAACATGGTTACCTGCAGAGGTATGGTCTTCAGCAGGTTCTGATCAGTTCTGGAGATACTTCAACAAGAGAAAAAAGTAACCTGTCATAATTGAAAATCCCTTCCTTCCTTCCTTCCTTCCTTCCTTCCTTCCTTCCTTCCTTCCTCCTCTCCTGTCCTCTCCTGTCCTCTCCTCTCCTCTCTCCCTCTACAATCCTTTCCTTCCTCATTCCCTCTTCTCCAGAAGTGGTCTTCTACAGGTTCTGACCAGTTCTGGAGAATTGATAGCAGAAATTTGGAGTAGTTCGGAGAACCAGCAAATACCACCTCTGACTGGCCCCGCCCCCATCTATTCTCTGCCTCCCATTGAGTCCCAGCTGATTGGCTGGATCTTCTTTGGTTGCCCTGCACAGGAGAATGGAGCTGGAAAGCAGGTTAAGTCACCATCCAGGGAATGGAGATTTTGTAGTAACCTTCCCCCAGGAATGGGGAAGAAATGGAAAATTGTACAGTATCCCTCCCCTGCCACACCCACCACACCATGCCCACCATGCCACGCCCACAGAACCAGTAGTAAAAAAAATTGAATCCAACCACTGGTTACCTGGGATAGAAATACTTCCAGGAACAATGTGGGGCCAGTTGACAACATTATTTAGGGTTCTACCAAATAAAAACAATTGCAAATGGTCTAATTTTTGTTTAAATGGGAGAGAATATCTTGCAGGACTCTTAAAGTCCCCATTCCAGTAACAACCAGTTGTGTGTCATCACACCCATAAATATTTGCACACAGTCTACTGCTACTCCTCACCCTCCAATTTAAAGCCTTTGTGATGTGTTATTGTAGAGAGAAGAGGCTGAAATGCCATTCCAGTGTGTGTGTTTGCAAAACACATGGAACAAAGTTGCTTGCTTGCAAAGTTTCTCACCTATTTGAGTGACATCAATGAAAGAGATTTATAAATGTGGGTAGGCTGGGAGTGGGAACGCTAAGAGGAACAACCACAGCACAATCAAATTGTTCTTTCCATCCATCTTCTGGCCTTGTAATTGATCACATCTGCCACACGTCCTAGAAAGTTGGTTTCATACCAGTTGCCCCAAATAAGGTATCTTTCTTTCTTTCTTTTTTTTTTAGCTTTCTTTCCTTGTCAGATAAATCAAAGCTAAATGAACCTGGCATTCAGAAGGATAGCACATTCTACTGGAGCAAATCCCTGGACTGTTCTGTTTTCTTCCACAGAAAATGGGCTTCAAGTAATTTAGCAACAGATTCCTTGCCCGGTTGCTGGGTGGGCATGGCCATGGGTGTGTGTGGCCTAGTCGGCCTCCTGCACCACCCTGGGAGCAAAAACGGGCCTCAGACGGGGAGTTTTTGCCCTCCACAGGCTCTGGAGGCCTTCTTCGAGCCTCTGGGAGAGCGAAAATGGCCTCCCGGGGCTCTGGAGGCTCCCTCTCTCTCTTCTGGAATGTTCCGGAGGCCCATTTTTCACACTCTCCGAGCCTCCGCATGGAACTTGAACTTTCCTACGATCCAAAATGGCCCATGTGGTTACTCCTGGGAGGGGCCAGCCAGTCATCAGAACTACCAGTTCACGTAACCAGGTGTAAAATTAACATCTGGTTTGCCCGAACCAGGTGCGAACCAGTAGCAGCCCACCCTTGCTCTGGATGTTGGGAAAAATGGGAGACAAAAGAAGAAGGGGACGACAGAGGATGAGATGGTTGGGTAGGGCCATCAATGCAACGAAGATGAATTTGGACAAAGTCCAGGAGACAGAGAAGGAGGGGGCCGTGATGTGCTAAGGTCCAAGGGGTCGCGAAGAGTCAGACAAAAGTCTGTAGATATTCTCCATCATCCAGTTTCGTGGTTGTCCCAAAGGTGCTTTTTTGAGGGGGAGGCAACTGGACTTTTTTTTTTCTTTTGAAGATGTTTCGCTTCTCCTCAAGAAGCTTCTTCAG